AGAGCTTGCGTGGTCCAGGAGCTTGCCTGGTCCAGGAGCGTGCCTGGTCCAGGAGCTTGCCTGGTCCACGAGCTTGCCTGGTCCAGGAGCTTTCCTGGTCCAAGAGCTTGCCTGGTCCTGGAGCATGCCTGGTCCAGGAGCTTGCCTGGTCCAGGAGCTTGCCTGGTCCTGGAGCTTGCGTGGTGAAGCAGCTTGCCTGGTCCAGGAGCTTGCCTGGTCCAGGAGCGTGCCTGGTCCAGGAGTGTGCCTGGTCCAGGAGCTTGCTTGGTCCATGAGCTTGCCTGGTCCACGAGCTTTCCTGGTCCAAGAGTTTGCCTGGTCCAGGAGCTTGCCTGGTCCATGAGCTTGCCTAGTCCAGGAGCTTGCCTGGTCCAGGAGCGTCCCTGGTCCAGGAGCTTGCCTGGTCGAGGAGCTTGCCTGGTCCAGGAGCGCGCCTGGTCCATGAGCTTGCGTGGTCCAGGAGCTTGCCTGGTCCAGGAGCTTGCCTGGTCTAGGAGCGTGCCTGGTCCAGGAGCGTGCCTGCTCCAAGAGCTTGCCTGGTCCAGGAGCTTGCCTGGTCCAGGAGCTTGCCTGGTCCAGGAGCTTGCCTGTTCCAGGAGCGTGCCTGGTCCAGGAGCTTGCCAAGTCCAGGAGCTTGCTTGGTCCAGGAGCTTGCCTGGTCCAGGAGCTTGCCTTGTCCAGGAGCTTTCCTGGTCCAAGAGCTTTCCTGGTCCAGGAGCTTGCGTGGTCCAAGAGCTTGCATGTTCCAGGAGCTTGCCTGGTCCAGGAGCTTGCCTGGTCCAACAGCTTGCCTGGTCCAGGAGCGTGCCTGCTCCAAGAGCTTGCCTGGTCCAGAAGCTTGCCTGGTCCAGGAGCTTGCCTGGTCCAGGAGCTTGCCTGGTCCAGGAGCTTGCCTGGTCCAGGAGCATTCCTGGTCCAGGAGCTTGCCTGGTCCAGCAGCTTGCCTGGTCCAGGAGCTTGCCTTATGAAGGAGCTTGCGTGGTCCAGGAGCATGCCTGGTCCAGCAGCTTGCCTGGTCCAAGAGCTTGCCTAGTGAAGGAGCTTGCCTGGTCCAGGAGCTTGCCTGGTCCAGGAGCGTGCCTGGTCCAGGAATGTGCCTGGTCTAGGAGCTTGCCTGGTCCAGGAGCTTGCTTGGTCCAGGAGCTTGCCTGGTCCAGGAGCTTGCCTGTTCCAAGAGCTTGCCTGGTCCAAGAGCTTGCCTAGTCCAGGAGCTTGCCTGGTCCAGGAGCTTTCCTGGTCCAGGAGCTTGCCTGGTCCACGAGCTTGCATGGTCCAGGAGCATGCCTGGTCTAGCAGCTTGCCTGGTCCAGGAGCTTGCCTGGTCCAGGAGCGTGCCTGGTCCAGGAGTGTGCCTGGTCTAGGAGCTTGCCTGGTCCAGAAACTTGCCTGGTCCAGGAGCTTGCTTGGTCCAGGAGCTTGCCTGGTCCAAGAGCTTGCCTGGTCGAGGAGCTTGCCTAGTCCAGGAGCTTGCCTGGTCCAAGAGCTTGCCTAGTCCAAGAGCTTGCCTGGTCCAGGAGCTTGCCTGGTCCAAGAGCTTGCCTGGTCCAAGAGCTTGCCTTTTCCAGGAGCTTGCCTGGTCCAGGAGCGTGCCTGGTCCAGGAGCTTGCCTGGTCCACGAGCTTGCCTGGTCCAGGAGCTTTCCTGGTCCAAGAGCTTGCCTGGTCCTGGAGCATGCCTGGTCCAGGAGCTTGCCTGGTCCAGGAGCTTGCCTGGTCCTGGAGCTTGCGTGGTGAAGCAGCTTGCCTGGTCCAAGAGCTTGCCTGGTCCAGGAGCTTGCCTGGTCCAAGAGCTTCTCTGGTCCAAGAGCTTGCCTGGTCCAGGAGCTTGCTTCGTCCAAGAGCTTGCGTGGTCCAGGAGCTTGCCTGGTCCAGGAGCGTGCCTGGTCCAGGAGCTTGCCTGGTCCACGAGCTTGCCTGGTCCAGGAGCTTTCCTGGTCCAAGAGCTTGCCTGGTCCTGGAGCATGCCTGGTCCAGGAGCTTGCCTGGTCCAGGAGCTTGCCTGGTCCTGGAGCTTGCGTGGTGAAGCAGCTTGCCTGGTCCAGGAGCTTGCCTGGTCCAGGAGCGTGCCTGGTCCAGGAGTGTGCCTGGTCCAGGAGCTTGCTTGGTCCATGAGCTTGCCTGGTCCACGAGCTTTCCTGGTCCAAGAGTTTGCCTGGTCCAGGAGCTTGCCTGGTCCATGAGCTTGCCTAGTCCAGGAGCTTGCCTGGTCCAGGAGCGTCCCTGGTCCAGGAGCTTGCCTGGTCGAGGAGCTTGCCTGGTCCAGGAGCGCGCCTGGTCCATGAGCTTGCGTGGTCCAGGAGCTTGCCTGGTCCAGGAGCTTGCCTGGTCTAGGAGCGTGCCTGGTCCAGGAGCGTGCCTGCTCCAAGAGCTTGCCTGGTCCAGGAGCTTGCCTGGTCCAGGAGCTTGCCTGGTCCAGGAGCTTGCCTGTTCCAGGAGCGTGCCTGGTCCAGGAGCTTGCCAAGTCCAGGAGCTTGCTTGGTCCAGGAGCTTGCCTGGTCCAGGAGCTTGCCTTGTCCAGGAGCTTGCCTGGTCCAAGAGCTTGCCTTTTCCAGGAGCTTGCCTGGTCCAAGAGCTTGCATGTTCCAGGAGCTTGCCTGGTCCAGGAGCTTGCCTGGTCCAACAGCTTGCCTGGTCCAGGAGCGTGCCTGCTCCAAGAGCTTGCCTGGTCCAGAAGCTTGCCTGGTCCAGGAGCTTGCCTGGTCCAGGAGCTTGCCTGGTCCAGGAGCTTGCCTGGTCCAGGAGCATTCCTGGTCCAGGAGCTTGCCTGGTCCAGCAGCTTGCCTGGTCCAGGAGCTTGCCTTATGAAGGAGCTTGCATGGTCCAGGAGCATGCCTGGTCCAGCAGCTTGCCTGGTCCAAGAGCTTGCCTAGTGAAGGAGCTTGCCTGGTCCAGGAGCTTGCCTGGTCCAGGAGCGTGCCTGGTCCAGGAATGTGCCTGGTCTAGGAGCTTGCCTGGTCCAGGAGCTTGCTTGGTCCAGGAGCTTGCCTGGTCCAGGAGCTTGCCTGTTCCAAGAGCTTGCCTGGTCCAAGAGCTTGCCTAGTCCAGGAGCTTGCCTGGTCCAGGAGCTTTCCTGGTCCAGGAGCTTGCCTGGTCCACGAGCTTGCATGGTCCAGGAGCATGCCTGGTCTAGCAGCTTGCCTGGTCCAGGAGCTTGCCTGGTCCAGGAGCGTGCCTGGTCCAGGAGTGTGCCTGGTCTAGGAGCTTGCCTGGTCCAGAAACTTGCCTGGTCCAGGAGCTTGCTTGGTCCAGGAGCTTGCCTGGTCCAAGAGCTTGCCTGGTCGAGGAGCTTGCCTAGTCCAGGAGCTTGCCTGGTCCAAGAGCTTGCCTAGTCCAAGAGCTTGCCTGGTCCAGGAGCTTGCCTGGTCCAAGAGCTTGCCTGGTCCAAGAGCTTGCCTGGTCCAGGAGCTTGCCTGGTCCAGGAGCGTGCCTGGTCCAGGAGCTTGCCTGGTCCAAGAGCTTGCCTGTTCCAGGAGCTTGCCTGGTCTAGGAGCTTGCCTGGTCCAAGAGCGTTCCTGGTCCAGGAGCTTGCCTGGTCCAGGAGCGTGTCTGGTCCAGGAGCTTGCCTGGTCCAGGAGCTTGCCTGTTCCAGGAGCGTGCCTGGTCCAAGAGCTTGCCAGGTCGAGGAGCTTGCTTGGTCCAGGAGCTTGCCTGGTCGAGGAGCGTGCCTGGTCCACGAGCTTGCCTGGTCCAGGAGCTTGCCTGGTCCAGAAGCTTGCGTGGTCTAGGAGCTTTCCTGGTCCAGAAGCGTGCCTGGTCCAAGAGCTTGCCTGGTCAAGGAGCTTGCCTGGTCCAGGAGCTTGCCTGGTCCAGGAGCTTGCCTGTTCAGGAGTTTGCCTGGTCCAGGAGCTTGCCTTGTCCAGGAGCGTGCCTGGTCCAGGAGTGTGCCTGGTCCATGAGCTTGCTTGGTCTAGGAGCCTGCCTGGTCCAAGAGCTTGCCTGGTCCAGGAGCTTGCCTGGTCCAAGAGCTTGCCTGGTCCAGGAGCTTGCCTGGTCCAAAGGCTTGCCTGGTCCAGGAGCTTGCCTGGTCTAGGAGCTTGCCTGGTTAGGAGCTTGCCTAGTCCAAGAGCTTGTATGGTCAAAGAGCTTGCCTGGTCCAGGAGCGTGCCTGGTCCAGGAGCTTGCCTGGTCCACGAGCTTGCCTGGTCCAGGAGCTTTCCTGGTCCAAGAGCTTGCCTGGTCCTGGAGAATGCCTGGTCCAGGAGCTTGCCTGGTCCAGGAGCTTGCCTGGTCCTGGAGCTTGCGTGGTGAAGCAGCTTGCCTGGTCCAGGAGCTTGCCTGGTCCAGGAGCGTGCCTGGTCCAGGAGTGTGCCTGGTCCAGGAGCTTGCTTGGTCCATGAGCTTGCCTGGTCCACGAGCTTTCCTGGTCCAAGAGTTTGCCTGGTCCAGGAGCTTGCCTGGTCCATGAGCTTGCCTAGTCCAGGAGCTTGCCTGGTCCAGAAGCTTGCCTGGTCAAGGAGCAAGCCTGGTCCAGGAGCTTGCCTGGTCCAGGAGCGTGCCTGGTCCAGGAGCTTGCCTGGTCGAGGAGCTTGCCTGGTCCAGGAGCGCGCCTGGTCCATGAGCTTGCGTGGTCCAGGAGCTTGCCTGGTCCAGGAGCTTGCCTGGTCTAGGAGCGTGCCTGGTCCAGGAGCGTGCCTGCTCCAAGAGCTTGCCTGGTCCAGGAGCTTGCCTGGTCCAGGAGCTTGCCTGGTCCAGGAGCTTGCCTGGTCCAGGAGCTTGCCTGTTCCAGGAGCGTGCCTGGTCCAGGAGCTTGCCTGGTCCAGGAGCTTGCCTGGTCCAGGAGCTTGCCTGTTCCAGGAGCGTGCCTGGTCCAGGAGCTTGCCTGGTCCAGGAGCGTGCCTGGTCCAGGAGCGTGCCTGGTCCAGGAGCGCTTCCACCCCCAAAACGCGGAAGGACCCGCACATGTGAGGGAAGTGCAGCGGGCGCTCTTCATTTGCGAGCGCCGATGACCGATGATGCTTGCAACCCTCCCACTCCCTTGCTGGATTGGTAATAGGACCAGACATGCGCAGCCACGTGACCCGGCGGAAGAAAATCGCTCGGAACGAGCGCTTCCACCCCCAAAACGCGGAAGGAGCTGCACATGTGCAGGAAGATCAGCGGGCGCCGATGACCCCGCTTTCCATCACCCCGCCCCATTCTCCCGCTTTCCACCACCCCGCCCCATTCTCCCGCTTTCCATCACCCCGCCCCATTCTCCCTCCTTCCATCATCCCGCCCCATGCTCCCTCCTTCCATCACCCCGCCCCATTCTCCCGCTTTTCATCACCCCGCCCCATTCTCCCGCTTTCCATCACCCCTCCCCATTCTCCCGCTTTCCATCACCCCGCCCCAATCTCCCGCTTTCCATCACCCCGCCCCACTCTCCCGTTTTCCATCACCCCGGCCCATTCTCCCGCTTTCCATCATCCCGCCCCATTCTCCCGCTTACCATCACCCCGCCCCATTCTCCCGATTTCCATCACCCCGCCCCATTCTCCCGCTTTCCATCCCCATTCTCCCGCTTTCCATCACCCCGCCCCATTCTCCCGCTTTCCATCACCCCGCCCCATTCTCCCGCTTTCCATCACCCAACCCCATTTTCCCGCATTTCATCACCCCGCCCCATTCTCCCGCTTTCCATCACCCCGCCCCATTCTCCTGCTTTCCATAACCCCGCCCTATTCTCCCTCCTTCCATTACCCCGCCCCATTCTCCCACTTTCGATCACCCCGCCCCATTCTCCCGCTTTCCATCACTCCGCCCCATTCTCCCGCTTTCCATCACCCCGCCCCATTCTCCCGCTTTCCATCACCCCGCCCCATTTTCCCGCTTTCCATCACCCCGCCCCATTCTCCCGCTTTGCATCACCCCGCCCCATTCTTCCGCTTTCCATCACCCCGCCCCATTCTCCCACTTTCCATCACCCCGCCCCATTCTCCCGCTTTCCATCACCCCGCCCCATTCTCCCGCTTTCCATCACCCGGACCATTCTCCCGCTTTCCATCACCCTGGCCCATTCTCCCGCTTTCCATCATCCCGCCCCATTCTCCCGCTTACCATCACCCCGCCCCATTCTCCCGATTTCCATCACCCCGCCCATTCTCCCGCTTTCCATCCCCATTCTCCTGCTTTCCATCACCCCGCCCCATTCTCCCGCTTTCCATCACCCCGCCCCATTCTCCCGCTTTCCATCACCCCGCCCCATTTTCCCGCTTTTCATCACCCCGCCCCATTCTCCCGCTTTCCATCACCCCGCCCCATTCTCCTGCTTTCCATCACCCCGCCCTATTCTCCCTCCTTCCATCACCCCACCCCATTCTCCCGCTTTCGATCACCCCGCCCCATTCTCCCGCTTTCCATCACTCCGCCCCATTCTCCCGCTTTCCATCACCCCGCCCCATTCTCCCGCTTTCCATCACCCCGCCCCATTCTCCCGCTTTCCATCACCCCGCCCCATTCTCCCGCTTTCCATCACCCCGCCCCATTCTCCCGCTTTCCATCACCCCGCCCCATTCTCCCGCTTTCCATCACCCCGCCCCATTCTCCCTCTTTCCATCACCCCGCCCCATTCTCCCGCTTTCCATCACCCCGCCCCATTCTCCCGCTTTCCATCACCCCGCCCCATTCTCCCGCTTTCCATCACCCCGCCCCATTCTCTCGCGTTCCATCACCCCGCCCCATTCTCCCTCCTTCCATCACCCCGCACCATTCTCCCTCCTTCCATCACCCCGCCCCATTCTCCCTCCTTCCATCACCCCGCCCCATTCTCCCTCCTTCCATCACCCCACCCCATTCTCCCGCTTTCCATCACCCCACCCCATTCTCCCGATTTCCATCAACCCGCCCCATTCTCCCGCTTTCCATCATCCCGCCCCATTCTCCCGCTTTCCATCACCCCGCCCCATTCCTGCTTTCCGTCACCCCGCCCCATTCTCCCGCTTTCCATCACCCCGCCCCATTCTCCCTTCTTCCATCACCCCGCCCCATTCTCCCGCTTCCACCACCCCGCCCCATTCTCCCTCCTTCCATCACCCCGCCCCATTCTCCCTCCTTCCATCACCCAGCCCCGTTCTCCCGCTTTCCATCACCCCGCCCCGTTCTCCCGCTTTCCATCACCCCGCCCCGTTCTCCCGCTTTCCATCACCCCGCCCCATTCTCCCGCTTTCCATCACCCGGCCCCATTCTCCCGCTTTCCATCACCCCGCCCTATTCTCCCGCTTTCCATCACCCCGCCCCATTCTCCCGCTTTCCATCACCCCGCCCCATTCTCCCGCTTTCCATCACCCCGCCCCATTCTCCCTCCTTCTATCACCCCGCACCATTCTTCCTCCGTCCATCACCCCGCCCCATTCTCCCTCCTTCCATCACCCCGCCCCATTCTCCCTCCTTCCATCACCCCGCCCCATTCTCCCGCTTTCCATCACCCCACCCCATTCTTCCGATTTCCATCAACCCGCCCCATTCTCCCGCATTCCATCATCCCCCCCCATTCTCCCGCTTTCCATCACCCCGCCCCATTCCCGCTTTCCATCACCCCGGCCCATTCTCCCGATTTCCATCACCCCGCCCCATTCTCCCGCTTTCCATCACCCCGCCCCATTCTCCCGCTTCCACCACCCCGGCCCATTCTCCCTCCTTCCATCACCCCGCCCTATTCTCCCTCCTTTCATCACCCGGCCCCGTTCTCCCGCTTTCCATCACCCCGCCCCGTTCTCCCGCTTTCCATCAACCCGCCCCGTTCTCCCGCTTTCCATCACCCCGCCTCATTCTCCCGCTTTCCATCACCCCGCCCCATTCTCCCTCCTTCCATCACCCCGCCCCATTCTCCCTCCTTCCATCACCCCGCCCCATTCTCCCGCTTTCCATCACCCCGCCCCATTCTCCCGCTTTCCATCACCCCGCCCCATTCTCCCGCTTTCCATCACCCCGCCCCATTCTCTCGCTTTCCATCACCCCGCCCCTTTCTCCCGCTTTCTATCCCCATTCTCCCGCTTTCCATCATCCCGCCCCATTCTCCCGCTTTCCATCACCCCGCCCCATTTTCCTGCTTTCCATCACCCCGCCCCATTCTCCCGCTTTCTATCATCCCGCCCCATTCTCCCGCTTTCCATCACCCCGCCCCATTCTCCCGCTTTCCATGACCCCGCCCCATTCTCCCTCCTTCCATCACCCCGCCCCATTCTCCCTCCTTCCATCACCCCGCCCCATTCTCCCTCCTTCCATCACCCCGCCCCATTCTCCCGCTTTTCATCACCCCGCCCCATTGTCCTGCTTTCTATCACCTGCCCCAATCTCCCGCTTTCCATCACCCCGCCCCATTCTCCCACTTTCCATCACCCCAGCCCATTCTCCCGCTTTCCATCACCCCACCCCATTCTCCCGCTTTCCATCACCCCGCTGCATTCTCCCGCTTTCTATCACCCCGCCCCATTCTCCCGCTTTCCATCCCCATTCTCCCGCTTTCCATCCCCATTCAACTGCTTTCCATCCCCATTCTCTCGCTTTCCATCCCCATTCTCCCGCTTTCCATCACCCCGCCCCATTACCTCGGCTCTTGGGGTTTGTAGGAGCTGGGAGTCATTCCCAACTCGTAACTCTTGCTAACTCTTCCTATCTTGTGTTCTAAGACTAGAGTGGCTGCCATAGTGCCGTTCGTTCAAACCGACGCTGTGTCGTCGATTCTTGATGAAATCGTGCGATCAAAATTTCCTATTGTAGGCAACGTTAAGGCGCTCCAGATCCAAGTTGAATGAAGTCATTTAGAGTTGTGTGCAGATCGCTATGAACGTTTAAAGCCGCTGTGCAGAAATCCGACTGTGCACTCTTTCGTTTTAGGCACATTGAAGCCTACTGTGACTATAACAAGTGGTATCAGAACCCCTTGGAGCAGCTACAACAATGGCTGGACATGAGGAAAGGGATGGCAGAGGTTCTGGAGGCAATGGATAAGCCCAAGCACAAGGCCAAGCCCATGATTCAGCCGTGGCGCCCGTGCAACCGACTCTTGGACCTTCAAGGGATGAATCAAGAGTGTTCGGGCTTGACAAGTTCAACGGCGATAACTTTGCTGAATGGTCCTTCAGAATGGAGAACGTGTTTGACCACTATGATCTACTGGAGGTGATGGAAGGAACGGAGAAGCGTCCCAAGAACGACCCGGAGAAGAGCCCGTGGGTGCGGAAGAGCGCACAAGGCTACCTCCTACTTGAGCAAGCGTTGGGGAGCAACCAGATCCGTCACATCAAGCCTTTCCAGCGTGATCCAGAGAAGGGACCAAAGGCATGGGCTGCTCTCAAGGGTGTACACGCTCCTGCAACAGCGGCGGTAGCTGTGGTGTTGGAACGGCAAATGGCAACGTTACGAATTGAAGAGGATGAAGCGGTTGAAGAAGGGGTGCAGAAATTCTTCGACTTGTTGACGCGGCTTGAGGGAGCTGATTTGAACTATAGTGAGCTCCAAAAGAAGACCAAGTTGCTGGCCCTACTCCCTGAGTCATGGTCCTCGCTCATCATCAATCTGAATCGCGACTTGCCCCGCCTCTCGCTCGAAGACGTGAAGCGAGCTATCCTTCAAGAGGATTTTCGCCGCCGTGAGTTGGCGAGTGCGGATGGCGCTGGGGCAGCGAGCGTCGGCCGTGGATATGGCCGAGGAAGATCCAGAGGACGAGGGGGAGGAAGGTTTGGTGGCAGCAACTTCGGCGGAGGCCGCGGGAGTGGCGGTTAGGGCAGCGACGACAAGAGCTACGGGCGCGGTCGCGGCCGATTCGACGGCGAATGCCATTATTGCCACAAGAGCGGACATATGTGGCGCGATTGCTACAAGCTCCCTGATGGTTGGACCCCTACTCAAGGCCAGGAGGGTAGAGGAGCAAGAGGAGGGAGAGGAAGAGGCTGCGGAGGCCGTGGCGGTCGCGGTGGCGGAGCTGCAAACATGAAGAGCGGAGACAATGACAAGGACCCGAGCGACGATCGGTACCCGGGTCTATTCTACTTCGTGTCGACGCAAGTACCAGCTGGTCCAGAGAAGGATGAAGGCTTTGAAGAGCCAGCAGCTGTGGGGAAGGTGACCCTACACCCCCTGGACTATTGGGTGATCGATAGTGGCGCTACCTATAGCATGACACCTCGCCCCGACTTGCTCACCGAACTCGAGCCGTCACCGGTGAAACATGTCACATCGGCTTTGGGGCAGCGAACAGAGGTGAAAGGCATGGGCAAGGCCATGTTCAAGGGTGCTGATGGGAAGATGGTGGGCCTCAAGAACGTGCTTTGGGTTCCCAGCCTTGCTGCGAACCTGATTTCCGTGCGGCGATTGGCAAAGGCCGGCATGGACACGAACTCGAAGGGAGCCAAGACCTACAAAGCAAGGCTTGGCGATCGGGTTCTTTGGGACCTTCATGAGGACAGAGATGTCTACAACGAGATGTGGAAGATCCCTGTGGTCCCCATGCCTAAGGAGAGGCAAGTGGCAGCAAGCGTCAGCACCAAGGATGAAGCGGTTGGTAGCGGCGATGGCGCGAACGGTCGCGCTAAGGAGATTGTGTCCAAGAAGTGCAATCTTGGAGGGACCAGCAAGCTCGGTCAACACGAGGAGAGTGGTGTAGCAGCCAAGAAGCGGCACAAGGGTGAGGAGAACCCCGGGGTAGCAGCGGAGGACTACGGAGAGAGCATGTGGGGCGCCATTGCGAGCGCGGCATTCTCCAATCCGACTTCGGCTACGGGGGAGTGTGATTGGTTGACTTTGGATCGGCGCATGGGGCATGTGGCCCTGCCCATCTTGCAGCAGCTAGTGAAGAATGAGATGGTTGCTGGCATACGTGTGAAGGGGGAGCCCGATGAGGTACTTGGCTGCCCGACGTGCATGCAAGCCAAGTTCACCCGTTTCCCATTCTCTAGCTTGGAGGCAACGGCTAAGGCACCACTTGATGAGGTGGTGATGGACGTGGTGGGCCCCCTGAAGCTTAGAGCTGCTGGAGCAGAGTATTTCCTCACCATTGTGGACGTCTACACCCGCATGACTTGGGTGTATGTGCTGGCCAAGAAGAGCGACGTGGCTGAAACGTTCCCGATGGTGGAGCGGCAACAAGACCGTCTAGTCAAGTCAATCCGCACCGATCGAGGGGGAGAGTTTCTGAGCAAGGAGTTTGGGTTGTGGCTGAAGAAGAATGGTATTCGGCACTCCCTCACCATGCCATACTCCCCTGCAATGAACGGCATCGCCGAGCGAGCGAACCGCACAATCACGGAGGCGGCACGCGGGTTGCTCATTGAAGCCGGGCTACCCGACTATTTCTGGCCTGATGCGGTGCGGAGCGCGTGTGTGGCCAAGAACAGAGTTTTGACTCATGTGGGAGCAGAAAAATGGGTGCCCTATGTGGAGTGGCTTGGAAGGAAGCCAAAGCTGGATATGCTTCGGGTGTTCGGGTGCATGTGCATGGCGCTCGTGCCTAAGCATCTTCGGCACAACAAGCTTGGTGCCAAGGCGGTGTGGGCCGTGCACTTGGGCATGGCTCAAAACAGCAAGGGATGGCTTCTTTGGGACCCATTCACCAAGAAGTTCTTGGTGAGCAGGGACTGCAAGTTCATGGAAAACTTCATGTACAAGGATTGGAAGGCAGAGAATGAGGCGAAGATAGGCGTGCGGTTTGGAGAGGTGAAGAGTTCCGGCTTGGAGCATGTGGAGCTGCCTTTGGAGCTGAGCAGCGGCAGCACCACCACAAGGCAATCTTCCCTTGTGAATGGGGGAGAGGAGGCCAATGATGCAGAAGAAGATGAGGAGGAGGTGCAGCAAGTGAGCGAGCGTGCACCGTCACTCCCTTCCTGCACTATGAGTGCTCCACGGATTCGAGCCACACCGCAGCAACGCCAAGGCCTTCAAGTCCCTGCAGCTGAGGAGGAAGGAAGGGGGAAGAGGAGAGTTCAACCCCCTAATAGGCTGACCTATGATGCGCCGGGAAAGCAGGGTAAGACAGCCCTGGCCGGAGCGGCAATGATGGTCGGAGACGACGAGGAGAGTGACTACGAGGAGTGTGCCTTTGCGTTCTTCTCTCCGGTGGAGATGCCGGAAGAACCAGCAACTCTCAAGGAGGCTTTGGAGAGTAGTGATGCTGAGGAGTGGAAGAAGGCCATGGAGAGTGAGCTGAAGAGCATTGAGGAGAACGACACGTTTGAATTGGTGGAGCTACCGGAGAGGCGTACGGCGATAACGTCCAAGTGGCTCTTCAAAATCAAGTCGGATGCCGACGGCAAGATCGAGCGCTACAAGTCTAGGCTTGTAGCCAAGGGGTACCAGCAGAAGGAGAAGGTGGACTTCAAGGAGCTGTTTGCCCCTGTGGTGAAGCCAACGACGCTGCGAACCCTATTCGCGGGAGCCGCCATTAAAGGATGGGTGGTAAAGCAAATGGACATCGTAACGGCATTCCTTAATGGCATCCTTGAGGAGGAGATTTTTATGGCGCAGCCAGAGGGGTTTGATGATGGCAGTGGCAGAGTTTGGAAGCTGAAGAAGGCCCTCTATGGGCTGAAGCAGGCCCCTAGGCAATGGTACATGAAGCTGCGCGAAGTGTTGGAGGAGATCGGCTTCACTCCCTCAACGGCCGACCACTCCTTGTTCATGCTTGGTGAGGGGGAGCAGAGGAGCTTCAGTGGTGTACGTGGACGACATCCTGATCTTTTCACCCTCCTCTGACCTTGTGAAGGAGGTGATGCTGAAGCTGCAAGACAAGTTCAAGTGCAAGTCCCTTGGGGACGTGAACTTCTACCTCGGGCTCCACATCGAACGTGACGTGGAGAAGCGGAGCATGCGGGTGCACCAACGGAAGTACCTGGAGGCGTTGGCTGCCAACTTCGGCCAGAGTGAAGGCCATGTGGCTACTCCCTTTCCCTCTGGGTTCAAGTGTGTGAAGGGACCAGAGGAGGAGAGTGTTGGTGAAGAGGAGAGGTGCCGATTTCACTCGTTGGTGGGCAGCCTCATGTATGCAGCGGTAAATACCCGACCGGACGTCGCGTTTGCTACCGGACAGCTAGCTAGGGTTGTGCAATGCCCTAATGTGGAGCAGGTAGCAGCTGGAATGAGGGTGGCCAAGTACCTTGGTCAAACACCGACCGTTGGGCTGCAATACTCGGCGGCGGCGCAAAACGCCAAAAGGGTGCGGATGGTGTAGAACCCGGGCGTTTGTTCCTTACCGCCTACTCGGACACTTCCTATGCATCGGAGCCAGAGGACATGACAAGTGTGGGAGGCTTCATCTGCTGTGTTGGAGGAGGCCCAACTGCTTGGGAGAGCAAGAAGCAGGTTGATCAAGCATTGAGCTCGGTGGAGTCCGAGTACATGGCACTCTTCCGTGCTGTACGGGAGATTGTGTGGCAGCGGCGTTTGTTGGCTGAATTGGGGGAGGAGCAGCAAGGACCTACCCCACTCTACTGTGACAGCCAGGGTGCCATTGGTCTTGCCAAGAACCCTGTGTTGCATGGCCTCACGAAGCACATGAGGGTGAAGTGGCATTGGACGAGGAGCATGGTGGCCGCGGGTGAAGTTGAGCTGCGCTATGTGAAGACGACGGGGCAGC